CTCAGCATGTGGTTCCGCTCAGAATTTAATGAGCGTGATTTAAACATACCATGATAGTTACGGAAGGCTGTACAAGGCGGTCTCCAAACTGCTCTCCCTTCACCTCAACACATGGTTTCACACTATATATCTGCTGGCAGAGGAACTGCTCTGGGGCTTTGTACCCCACAGGATGCAAACACAAGGAACAAATGTCCCTGGTTACATATCTGTCATTCACTTGCCTGTAATTCCTGGTGTATGATATGTTTTATGGTCATTAATATAAACTACAGCACATCAGATTCTTTTTTGCTTTTTTTTTTTTTTTAAAATCAAGATACAGCCGACCCATCATTAGTTCCCCGAGTTGTGTTTTGCTCTCGGAGCCACTCCTTCTAGCCTTGATTAGCTTCTCAAGCTAATGGAGAGTTTCCTGTGCTTCCACACACACATGCATAGACGCACACACACAGACACAAACCAAACAAACTCGCAGGAAGCCTTCAGCAATCTAAATATCTGATTTAAAGAAAAGTCACAACAATCCAAAGCACTGTGGAGCTGTGGTGTGAAAATAAAAAACTGAAACCATTACCCGATGCAAAACTCCTCATCGCAGTCCATGAATTTGTAGGATGACAAGTGTGACAGGGATTAAAAATCAAATGAAAAGTGGAGATAAATGTACCCTTTTGTGAACTCCCTCGTACTGCTGGCTCCTCTTCCCCTTTTGTTTGACAAGATGTAGCCATTACACTTCTCTCTTGTCTACTTATGGAAAAGCAATGGGCGACACTTCCAGCACATCCAAACAACTTGAAGAGTCACATCTCGTATTGAGCAAATGATCAACAAATGAGCCCTACTGAACGTGAGCGAGCTCTGACGTCGATAACTTTATATTTCCTGGGGATTGTGCTATTAAAAGTGAGCAGGAGAGCAACTGCACGGATGTTTCCAAGAATGGCAGCGTTGGCAAAGAGAAGATGGATGGTACCGCGGATTGAAATGTGAGTTTGTAAAGTCCAGGCGGCTGCCACAGATCAGGCCTGCTGTGCTACATGCTGCAAGCTTTAACAAAGCAGTGTTTTGAATGTAAGAGGACTGAAGCATATCGCTTTTGAGGTTTCCATGGTGAGGAGAGAAACATTCCCAGGATATAGTATATATGGGGTGTGAGTGTGTTATAAACAGGCTTCCTGAAGCTTTATGAGAGTTCTGATGATTTACACACTGCCACTGTGAGCTGAGCAAATCCTTGACTGCTACGCTCACTGTAAATTATTTTCTCTCTAGGAAGTGTGTTAGATTTAACTCCAGAGCAGACAACAGGTGAAAGTGTTATATTTTAGTGGCATATTTTTCCATGCTGTACAATGTCAAACCACTTCATGCATATCGCTGTCATCTCAGAATCCTCAACAAACTGTATTAACCTTGTCAGTTGTGTGAAGTGAATGAAAATGCAATTTTCTTGCTTGCAAGCGATTAATTATGCAGTATAAGTGACTGTGTGCAGAGCACCCTAATGCTTCAGCTACAGGCCTGTCTGTATAAATGGTGAGAAAGCTGTCACGGCTGAATCCACTATCAACAACTGAGCTCGTGCCAGCCGCTGTGCTTGACTACACTAGGACCAGCTCCAGATCGACCAATGGCATCTTCTCACGCAAAGACAAATGAGCAGCTGTCAAGCTGTCAGCTCCACAGTGATGACCTTCATCTGCAGAAATGCTGTCAGATGGGGCCTCTTGGTCATCAAGTTTAAAAAGGCACCAGTGTTTTGCTTTTGCCCGCTGTTTCCTTTTGTGAATGCACTTGCAACTCCTTAGCTTCCTGTCAGATGAGTGACAAAGTGACCCAGCCTATCTAAACCTAAATTGGGCAGCAAAGCAGGCGTGTATATGACCGAATAACAAAGCACGCCCCTCTTATATCCCTCTTATAACAACTTGTTTTAAATGACACTGCTATATTTATAATAAACCCTTAAAGGAACAGTCTGACAATTTGGAAAATGTGTGGGGGGTTTTTTTCTTTGTTTTCATTTTGACAAAAGTGCTGCTGCAGAGACTTTATTATCACTGGCCATTTCCTTAGGTGCACTATTTATTTAATACAATAGCACTAATCCAGTGCATTTAGGCATGTAGAAAAGGTCAAGATGACCTGCTGAAGTTCAAACCGAGCATCAAAATGGGGAAAAGAGGTGATTTAATTGATTTTGAAAGAGGCATGGTTGTTGGTGCCAGACAGGCTGGTCTGAGTACTACAGAAACTGCTGATCTACTGGGACTTTCCCACACAACCATCTCTAGAGTCTACAGAGAACAGCCCAAACAAAGAGAAAACATCCAGCGAGTGGCAGTCTTCTGTGAGAAAATGCATCGGAGGAGATTGGCCAGACTGCTTTGAACTAACACGAAGGCAACATAAACTCAAATAACCATTTGTTGCAATTAAGGTATGCAGAACAGCATCTCTGAACATGTTAAACCTTAAAGGATGGGGTACAGCAGCAGAAGATCACATTGGATGTCATTTCCTTTATTCTATTTATCTATTCAAACTTTTTTTAAGCAGGAAGTCTCTTGATATCTCTTTCTAAAATGCCCAAGAAGGTACAACAATACAGTGTTACGAGTCAAAAAATTAATAAAACATCAAAACACAAGGTCCATCTTATGAATAGCAGTTACATTCTTCAGTTGCGTAAGTCTCCATGTGAGTGCTGAGTTCTCCCAGATGCATTTAACTTGCTCTGAAGAGTAGTCCATGACCAAGTTGCAAAATAAGAAAAAATCCTGAGGTCGCCAGTCATAGTAACTGTTTGCAGGTATTAAGAGTTTACGCAGCTAAAGATGGCTTTACACATAAAAATATATCTGTGCGGTTGTCACCTTAAACTTATTGAAGGCCAAGAAATCACAATATGAAGTACACTCGGATGTGTGCTGGACAACAGATTTGATATGAAATGTAATGAGCTGCAATACACAGATTCTACACAAAAGTGTACACAGGACTCACCATATATAAAAGTAATATTCTTGTCATGCCTTGGACTCCTTATTAGCAAATGAGCATTGTTTAAATGCCACACCCTAGCTGAGTACTGTTGCTGACTATTTCAAGTGTCTGAGGAATGTTTCCAGCACCTCACTGAATCTATGCCACAAAAAATGTAAGTAGTTCAACCAGTAAACAGTGCCTAATAGTGGATAAAAAGTGTATGATGGTAACAAAAAAAGTAGCCAGGTAAGGTGATCTGGCAAGCTTAAGTTTAAAATGTAGACTGGAAAGATGGGAACCAGCTTGCTTGGCTCTGTCATTAAGAAATAAAATTCAGTTTTAATATTATGCTCCATTTCTTTAATGTGCAGAAAATACAAAGTCAAACAAGCTTACAGCAATGAGAATAAACTAAAACAGGGAACTGTCGTGAGCTAGCTAAAAAACGAGCTTTTCAGTGTGCATTCAGTTTAATACAGCTGTTGTTAGAAAAATAATAATTATTAACATCTTCGGAGAAGGAACTGCAAAATATGAATGAATCAAAACTCTCTGGAATTACCAAAGTGCTAAAAAGTGTCAGTTTGAATGTGAGTACTTTCCTGTTTATCCTCATTAAGCAGAAGTAAAACACAAGGCGGGAATAATCAGAGAACAATCACAGTTGCACCCGAAGCGTCACTCAGACCAAAGAAGGAGCTGCTCGGCGACAAGACACTGCAGTAGAGCGCTGGATATCTGAAGTGAATCGCATGAAAGGCATTCGCCCGATTGTTCTTCTTCAGTGCACCGGCTTGAGCAACAGCGAGATAGCAATCTATTATTTTCTTTACTGCTCCGAGTCAAAGAGAGGGCACTTGTTTCCTGTTCTCTGCAGCTGGTAATGTCTCGTGCCTTGTGGTCTGAGAAGCTGACCACAAACTGCATTACAAATAAATCTTTGGAGCCCATTAGAGCCGTACTGTTAAAACTGAGATAATGAGGGGACGATCGTAATTAGAAAGCGGCTAAACTTGTGAGCTACATATATTTTGATGTTTAGTGCAAAGCTGGTGTTCGACTGCCCGGAGGTGTGTGTTTGACATTACCCAGCATGTGACAATCAGAACAGGAGCCAGCGGCAGCTGTTACGTTGTTGACACAGTCAGGTGACAGATATTAATGTGTTAACAAGCTTAGCATAGCTGTTACATTCAACACAACAAAAGTGGCATTAAAGAGCCATTCGTCATCGTTCACCTTTAACCCTACAATTTTGTAGTATTAACCTGATGTGTTGTTACACATTTTATCTGCTGTCACACAGGAGTACTTTGTTGCTCCGGCTTATACAGATGCATGACACATAAAAGGAAAACCTGAACCTTTGACTGCCTAAGTGAGAGGATCTGGTGGCTCTCTGAGTAGTTTGGTCCTACTCTCGTCTAGGTTACATTGACAAACCAAAAAAGTTGTTCAGAGTTGTTCTTTATGCTGTGATGAAACACTTCTATCCTCAAGTTAGTTATGTCATCTCTTTTAGCATGATGATCCCTCAATTCACAGGGCACCAAGGCTCACTGAGTAGCATAATCTAAAACTAAGTGAAAATTTGACAAGTTAGAAAGCTCTTTCCAAAACCTACCATCAAAATACCAAATGAGGGGAAATATCTTTATGTGAATGGAGTGCATCTCTCCAGCAGAGCTTCAGATATTTGGAAAATCGGTTCCAAGAAGTATTTAAGCTGCATGAGGTTCGCCTCAACACCTTAAGATGCTCTATGCTGGTTTTTCCTTTAATTTGTCACTCCCGTTTTTATGTCTGCGTGTGTGATTGTTCACATGTGTGTGGCTGTATCAGGGTACAGATCCCTGTATGGCTTTGACACACAGGCACACTTTTTAACTCCTCCCCTCTGCCTTCAGCCAGGGTGTGATTACAGCCAATACAATCTTGGGCAACCTGCACTGAGAGAGAGAGAGAGAGAGAGAGAGAGAGAGAGAGAGAGAGAGAGAGAGAGAGCAAAAGAAAGATCGGCCAGCTGCTCTGGTGCACTCTGGTGGTTCTTGTAACAGCGTCACTGTTTGCTTGATCTCCAAACAGTCCAAGTGTGGCACTGAGGCTCATGCATGATCCTGCGACAAAACTAATTCCAGTGGACGTACTTAAATGGAAAAGGCTGGCTTTTCTTCTCCCAAACTTTTTATTTTTTTTATTTTTTTACTTGATATTTTGATATTTTCCTTGGATTTATGAAAGGGCTGAAACTGTGTGAACCAGTATTGTTTTGGCTTCGCGGACAGTTTGGATTCATCTTTTCTCTGGAGAACGTGTTTTTGTTGCCTGCACAAACTTCCAGAAACAACAACATCTTCGGAGGTGATGACGAGCCACTGCTACTCCCTTCTGAGCACTGCCAAACAAGACTCGCAAGGTGTGAAATGTGATCACTAACTGCACAGAAAAGACACTGTCCAGTGAGACAAACTACCTCAGATTTTTGTAAAATCGTATGTATGATGCTTGCATGAGGCTCCTACAGTCCCTCAGTTGTGCTGACTTTGATGTGAAAATCTAACACTTTCCACCTCTTGTGACTAAGTTCCCTGACTAAGCAAAGATGAACAATTTGAACACATCATCCTCACTGAACACGACAGGCGCCATATACGCACCCATGGGAAAAGAGATCATCGTTATTCTGGTCTTCATCATACTCATCATAGTGGTGGGAAACCTGCTGGTCATCATTGCAATAGCACGAACTCCGCAGCTTCAAACGACGACAAACATCTTCATTATGTCCCTAGCATGTGCGGACCTCATCATGGGGGTCCTCGTCGTGCCTCCTGGGGCCACTGTTGTGGTGACAGATAAGTGGCAACTTACTGAAACATTATGTGACCTTTGGACTTCTATCGATGTCCTCTGTGTGACGGCGAGCTGTGAGACACTTTGTGTCATAGCAGTGGATCGGTATATAGCCATTACCAGACCGCTACGGCATAAAGTTCTGCTCAGTAAGTGGCGTGCCAGAATAATAGTTTGTATAGTGTGGGTTGTGTCAGCCCTGATTTCCTTTGTACCAATAATGACTTTGTTATGGAGAGACGAAAATGATAATTTGGCGAGGGAGTGCTATGAAGATCCCGCATGCTGTGACTTCGTGACCAACAAGACCTATGCTATAATATCCTCTATAATCTCTTTTTACATTCCACTGCTCATAATGATATTTGTTTACGCAAAAGTCTATTTAATAGCATCCCGGCAGGTCCAGCAAATAGATAAGAGTCGGATGCGCTTCCAAAATGAATATCCAACATCACAGACACAAGTTGGCCCCCAGCTCAACAATACGCCGTCATCGTCCAGCAACTGCAACAGTGCAGCGAGGAGCAAGAGTACCAAACGCAGGCCGTCACGGCTAATACTTGTCAAAGAGCACAAGGCCCTCAAGACTTTGGGCATTATCATGGGGGTCTTCACTGTTTGCTGGCTTCCTTTCTTTGTCGCCAATATCATTAATTCTTTTAACAAAGAAGTTCCTGATAAAAAACTCTTTCGACTATTAAACTGGCTTGGTTATATCAACTCTGGCCTCAATCCCATCATCTACTGCAGGACTCCAGAGTTTCGCACTGCGTTCAAGAACCTGATGGGCTGCCCATGGATGTCCACTCTGTGGATCAATTCTTTTTACAAAGAACTGCGGACTCGCTGCCCCTGCTTTCTATGGGAAGCTGAGTCAGGCACAGCAAGCCCTTTTCAGAAGACTTCAACCAGTAGGACTGAGGGTAGTGACAGCCTGGCCAGTACACAGGCAAGCAGCAGAAGTGAAGAGACTTCCCCCGGTCCTCCACAGTCCAACGGCTGCACACAGTACAGTGACTATTCGGAGCCAGAAACCACGTTGTAAGTTCATTTATCTTTTTATGATTTCACAAAGCAGTCATTTCTTAAAACAATGGTAAAAGCTCACATATGTGAACTTAAAGGCATATAGTTTACTACTAATACTTATATTATAATACTTAAATATAATACTAAGTAATAAGTATATACTAATACTTATAGAATTCCACCTCCTCAAGTCAGGGTTAAAGAACAATAACACCTAGCAATATTTAATGCTGTCATGTAGAGGGGCAATCACCTCAATATAGAATTAGGTTCTCTTATTCATAAAACTCCAGTTTAGTTTATGCGAGGACACTTATGGTACTCTGTTTTTCTGCATTTAAAGGACAGTGAGGTAAACCAGAGATTCAATATATATTAATATATATATATATATAAATTAATATATATTTGAAAATAAAAATCATACTAATTTGAATGAAAAGGCAAAATTTATCTCTAGCAATTGGGAACTGTGACAGTTACTTGCATTAAAAACAGTGTTATAATTAATGAAATATGACATTTTAAAAATATACCTTAATGTTTGAAACACTCATCACTTGCTACCAAACTCCCCTTTAGGCTGTGTTTCATGACATTAATTACAATATTGTAATTAAAAATCATTTCTCGCTTTTTTTCTTTTTGTATTATGGTTGATACGCCCAGTTTAAAGCCATTTAAAATAATCCCAGGACCACAAACAAAATGCTTTTTGATTTTTTTCTTTGCAGTTTGACAATGAAAGAAATGTAATAAAAGCAGAAATCCATATTTAGACATGTTCTACTACACCGTTGTGCTATAGTCCAGAAGTAAAATATATTGAGAATAACAGTGCAGAATAATAAACAATTTCAGAAGTATTGGCAGCTGTTAGGCTCTTAAAGTGTTACTGTAAGAGTTCAAACATTCAAGTGAAACTTTATATTTGTTTTTCATGCATGATTAAATAAACCTTTGAGGACTGTACCTGTATTGCTTATTGCGCCACGCTACCTATAATCAATCTTTCAACTCAGCTGATGTCAGTGTGGCAAAAATAACAAACAGATTTGCACAGCACAGTTCCTGGTAGTATGCGCGTGTGGCTACTAGGTTTGTAGGTCATAGAGATTAAAAAACAATGCAATTATTGAATTAATTAAAATAGTATTTTCTAGAAAGTGTCATAATTGTAAATTTTTATTTGTAAAAAATGTCAACCCAAAATACTTTGGTTACGCCAAAAATGTGTGTAAAGAGGCTTTGGAAACCCAGTGGGCGTTGTGCAAAAGTCTGATTCGGAGAACTGCATGGTACATTTGAGAACATTTTAGTGTGTGTGCCTGTCAGTGGGCCTCAGTGTGCCCAGCCCAACAACCCCTGCAGCAGATAAATCTTTATCACTTATGCACAAGACTTCCCTCAAAACTCGAGAGACTGTTTACAAGAGTGACAGCCAATGAGAACGCTCTCCTTAACACACTCTAACTGTAGGCGGACAGCCCAATATTCAATTCATTACTACCCTAATGCACAACCCAGAGATGAAACCAGGTCTTTCACAGATAAAAATAGTAGGCGAAATTATAAGTTATGGCATCATCTATGTAGTGTTTATGTAAGAATTATACCTCTCACATAATTTAATTACATTTTTTAATCAATTTGAATTATGAAATAACTGATCAATTATCATTTTAACAAAAGAATTAAAAAAACCACTTGAATATTCAGAATATTTCTTAGTGAATTTACAGCTGAAATAAAGTTATTTTCAGAGCTGTACCGTCTTAAAGGCAGACAAGACAAAGGCCGTAACTCACTTACAATTACACCTGCACTACAATGATCGTTAAATATCTCATTGCTGTGTTTAGTTTCTGTCGCCAATATTTATGATTACTAAATTTTATTGCGAGCTCTTGCATGAATGGAATTAACTTTTGCATGTACATTTATTTTTTATAAATGCAGTGTTTCAGGTTACAGTGCATTTATATGACTTCAAATTGGATCAAACAGTGAAAAAAAAAGTCTTTATGTTGATACATTTTATTTAATAAGTTGCACAACTCTATGCCGCATATGAATTCCCATGACTGATCCACTTTTATGGAAGGGCCGTGCTTCTGATTTTAAATATTTACCCTGAACACTATAAATTATTTTTCTCTTCCCCTTTAATGGCATCCCCTCAGTGGAATTTTACAGACATAATCAATGGGGCTACAAAACAGGAGACATTTAGCAGCATATAAAAGCCATCCATAAAAGGAGCCTGGTGTGTTCTGTAGTAAATCACCCCAAGGGGAAGGCTCAGCAGACTCACCGCACGCTTTCAGCAGGATTACAAATGTAAGTGAGACCAGCCGTTCAAGAATGACTTCGACAGGTCCAAGGCTCAAAGACCGCCTTAATGAAGGAATATGACAAACTGTTTCAGATACAGTCTGTTCACTGCCGAATTTGTTGCTTCAGTCGCCATCATAACCAACTGTGGACCTCCACACAGTAATCCCTGTCAGTTTCTCCACCTCTTTCAAAGAATACAAAAGAGCAGTAGAGCAGCATGTTTCCTTTTCACCCTGGGACAACAAAGTTAGTTAAGTCAGGAGCTGATATAACCCAGAAAAAAAGCAAAGCCCAACCACTGACATGAATGGTTACTAGGTTGTACTTCACAGAACAGAGATTATCAATAGTTACTTTGTTTTCATAGAAATACATGCTGGCATATCAGTGATGCCCTCATCAACATCCAAACCAACCATCAGCTTCTGTCACGTAATGCTGTGGCGTATGACGAGACCACTTCTGCAAGGATTCTCTTCAAAACATCTCTCCTTAATGTCAGAGAAGCGCTTTTACCCCTTTTCTTTTGCTACATGACTAAGGGTTAAGGGTTTAGTTTTTCTGTGTCTCCCTTTGTTTTTATCTGCCTTGTTTCTCTTAACATTAGCCCTAATATGCATACGAGAGGTGAGTCTTCGTGTATCTGAAGGGCAATGCTGTGTATTACAAGCAGAGCGAGTTTGTTAGCACAGTTTATCCATCACTGAGAACATTAAAATTAAGTTAACAGAGAGTGGAACATTTGATTTCAACGAGCAGCAGCCAACTAGGTTGTGGACTAAAATACTTTACGTATGTGGAGCAGAAATTACGGCGTCTGTTAGATGACTGATAGACTGATTCAGAAACATAGAGCTCTGCTGTGCAGGTCTAATATACCCGAGGTTTACAAAAGCCACACAACCATGTGCTGCCATCTAAAAAAGTCCACGCTGCTCGGGCAACACAGATGAAGTTTCAAGAGATGTACTAAAGGAGGGATGTGGAACTCATTTTACACTGTGGGGCACTTTGACCTTAACTGGGCGGAACGAGTAAAAAAGTTTAACTACACATTGCATCATTAAGATGTCTTGGCATAAGAAAAAATCAAGTGTATTTAAACAGCATGATAAATACTGTCGTCGTCAATAGAAATAATCTGTCAGCATGACTCTTTGGGTTTAAGGTGTAAGAAATAAACGTGCAAAATTACAGAAAAGATTCTGGGGGCTCACTCTCGAGACTCTTCTGTGATAATAAAACAAATATTTTCCTCATTTTTTAAATCTTATTTATTTAGCTTTTTACTGTTTACCCACCAGAACATAAATAGTCATTTCTGTTGTAGATGGTAAAAAAAACCCTGAAACTTTGTGTTATTTAAACGTTTATAAACACACCCTTTACTTTTTAAAAAAAAAAGGTGTCCTGTGGGCTAGATTGGAGCATTTGGTGGGCCGATTCTGGCCCCCCAGGCCATATATTTGACACCACTTTATTAAAGTCTCAAATGTATTGGATTTAATAAAACTGCATCAGGTTAAATATGAAATAAAGTGATGCAAGAAAAGTAAAATTAATACACAAATTTCATAACATTAAAAATATAGTACACTTAAAATGTAGGAAACTGAAAGTGTTCAAACTCATTTCTGTAGGAACTTAATCACAAGTTAGGATAATATTACAAGTGTACAACACTTAAATCAAGTAGTACACCTGATGTAACACCTGATCTTATGTAAACAGATATGCCACATGAACTTTTTTAGTATAGCAGAGAAAGCTGATTGTATATAATTTCATTTTTTATCATATTTCAAAATCCATATTCTCCGCAGAGGTAGTGGAGTGTTGCTTTGATAGTAACTGCCCTTCAACATGAACGCCGAGCGGAAGTCATTAATCACTAAGAGTCTAGGTCACGACAGCCCATCTCCTAGCTAAAGCTTAACAATGTTCTGAGTGGGTATGCAAACATCAGAAACCACATCAAACATACACAGCAATCAAAGTCCTAACAGTCATAACACAGCTGAGTGATGTGAAATTAAAGATTAACAGTCCCACAAGCCTTTGCACTAAGCTGAGAGGAACTATCCGCAATCAGCAAACTCAAGTGCATATTAAACGAAACAAGCAAGCAGGCAACATGGGGAGTAGAGCAAGTCAACTAAAAAGATGACTGCACTGAGTTTAATGGCAGTATTTAAGTACCGGCAGTGCTTACACCTATGCAGTGCATATTTGAATATATGCTCATATTTTTAACTTGTGAACCTTCAAAAGAACAACAATGACGAACATAGATGACGAATTCCATTTCCAGTACTAACGCCAGCTTACTGAAGTCCATACAAGAAGCTCCACAGGATCTTGTAAATATCTCTGACATGTAAAAGTTAACAACTTAGAGTTTAGCAAATCTAAAAGGACATTTTGTATATACGTCTGACATTTCAGGTTCCTACTATAAGTGACTGAGTGTGTCTTACTAGAACAAACTGTATCATTATGCCAGCTAAAAATGTACATATAATTACCCACACATGTATGCTGTATTCTCCAAGAGCGCCCGATTTTTATTAATGGACGTGTTGTTAGTGTAAAATATAGTACACGGTAATTGTAGACAATTTAAAAACTGTGTAAACACATATTTCGGCTGTGTTGTGTTTACTAGTTAAGCGTGTCGAAGCGTGAGGCTTAATGCAACATACTCTGCAGCCTGTTAGAAACAAGCTTTTTACCTCTCTAAGCAGCCAATGTGTGGTGACTCAAGTGTCATGTGACATTACAATGGCCTAAAAATGGTGTTGCACATTGACAGACTGCAGTGGAACGTGTTGAAGCCACTTAGAGTTTTGAAGGTTCTTCGGGAGCAACATGCACAAATGCTTAGTTTTGTTTTCAGTGCCGTGAACCCTGTAATGCAAAGGCCTCCCTGCGCTTTGCTAATTGGGTCTGTTCCATAATATGCACTTAGATAGCTTAGAGTAAGCTCAGGCCTAAGAGAGCATGAAGCATGGAGCAGGGAAACACAAAACATGGTGGTATTGACCTGTGGGAAACCTCCAATACCCTGGCTGATATGACAAACAATATCACTGCAATATGATCTTTAAATGGAGGCATCTAGGATACTTGACAACATATATACACACAC